TTCTATTTTTAAAATGTGCACAATTTCCGCGAAAAGAGACAAGTTATTAACTTATTCTGCAGTGCAACAATTGGAAGCCTATACTGACATTCAATATTACCTGCTGGTGTGGGAATCCTTCCTCTGACCATCAAACACCGATTAAATAGACTAAACAAGAAAGCTTGTAATATCACACAAACTAAACATCCTTCACTTATCAATGTCATGCCGCCTACGGGACTCCATCTCTGGGTTTGAAATCAGAGTTTTCCTTCATCAAGGTTTAGCAAGTCTCACCACCCGGAGCACTACGTTGTTTTTTCTTTTTCAAGACTTTTACCTGGAATTGCACTTGTAAAAAAAATGTCAAACAGTACAAGGGGCTATTACAAATTACATACACACTGGACACATAAACAATTAACTCATACATACTGTTTATTTAGTCTGGTGATACCGGTATATATTATTTATTGTTATCATCAGTGTAATTTTTTCTTCAAACTGTATTATGTATCATTCAATTAGAGAGGGCCATGCGTTGTCAAGTGATGGTCATTCTCATGCTGACATAACGAATTTTATAACTAGTACTGGTGTTATTTCATTGGATGACTTTGTTTCTATAAACGTTGCTTTTTTTTTCTTTTTTTTTAAATTCAGCAGTCAAATAAATATCGTAATTTAAACGTTACTTTTCAAAGGTAGAGTGGTGCGACAGCACGAGGGTGGTGCGACTGCACGAGGGTGGTGCGACTGCACGAGGGTGGTGCGACTGCACGAGGGTGGTGCGACTGCACGAGGGTGGTGCGACTGCACGAGGGTGGTGCGACTGCACGAGGGTGGTGCGACTGCATGAGGGTGGTGCGACTGCATGAGGGTGGTGCGACTGCATGAGGGTGGTGCGACTGCATGAGGGTGGTGCGACTGCACGAGGGTGGTGCGACTGCACGAGGGTGGTGCGACTGCACGAGGGTGGTGCGACTGCACGAGGGTGGTGCGACTGCACGAGGGTGGTGTGACTGCACGAGGGTGGTGCGACTGCATGAGGGTGGTGCGACTGTGTAAAATGTGGACTACTTATAAATTAACAAAAACTTCACTGTCATGGACAGCTTGGTACCGCCGGTTTGTACATGATATCTTTTCTTTATTGTTTCATTCATCGCCAACATCTGGTGGATAAGAACTGAAAGTTTAGTAACATTCACAATGCGAGTGTGTAAGTCACTTGTAGAAGCTATTGGGCAATGTGTTATGGTTTAAAAAAAGACAAATGCTTTTCACGGTGCTGACAACAAAGTCGTCAGACATGACTTAGCTATTGTCAGAAATATTTTACGATTTCAATAACAAAAATAATTGTATATGCTGGGAGAGGATGTCAATCTTATTTAGACCAAATGAACCAACTCAACTTTCATATCATAATCAACTCTTCTTATTAACGATATCGGAAAATATCCAAGTCCGTCTGACCTAGAAGAGAAGGGGAGGCGAGTTGTGCATGATGGTAAAGAAAATGCGTCACCGAGGTTGGTATTACCCAGTGCTTCTAACAGTGCCGTCTTAAGGCATGGACACACTAGCCACTGGCCCAGTGCCTCACGTTTCTAGGAGACTCACGTTTCTAAGTGACTCCCACGCCTAGACCACACACGCTTCTAGGAGACTCGCAGTTCTAGGAGACTCACTCTTCTAGGAGACTCAGACCTCTATAGGAATCATGTTCCCCATATTGTTAATGAATATTGAAAGATTTTTTAAATTTAATTTGATTTGAAAGTCGGTGGACAGCATGTTTCCCAATTTTAACCCACGATATTATCGGGACATTCCAAAATTAATATTATAAATGCGAATCATAAGTTTTACTTTTCTTTTAACTTTAAGCAAGGGGAATAACTCTTGTCAACAAGTTTTACTTCTCCCAGATTTGATTCGAATATAAAAATGTAAGCACGGTTGTTTACAATCATATAAAATATACGATGGCGCTACAAAACAAAAGCGTGATTTAATGAATTATTTCTTAGATGAAAATAAATTTGAAAATAATTTATTTGGTATTTCTCACGATAGGGATAATATACGACAGTCAAGCTGGAAGTTAAAAAGTTCCAGTAGAGCTAGGTAACAATTGCGTAGAAGTGGGGGCACTTTTATCCTTCATATTTATATTGAGGATGGCAATTTTACTTTAGCCAAATGCAGGGTTTCTATCGTGGAAAATATAGGCATTATTTGTACTCTCTGTTTAGAGCTCAAGGTCATATTCATCTTACACAGCTCAAACAGTAGGTTATCTTTTTTTTTTAATGCAATGCACGATAACAATAATGTCCCCGTGTTTTTTGTTAGCGGGGTACTTGTGAGTATGAAAGGACAGACGAAATCATTTATTTTTAAAGTTATGCGATTATTTTTTTTAATGATATTTTAAGCGGATCGCTGTAATTACAACATGGATATTTGAAATAGAGTAATAAGTTTCTAACGAAAAAGTGAAAGAAAGGATTCGTCAAGCATTTGGGCAATAAGATGACCTCCTGGTGACTGTAAAAAATCGCACAATGGAATGGTATGGCCACGGGACATGAAAACAAGGGCTCGCCAAAGAAATCATGCAGGGCACAAAGAGAGGAGGGAGAAAAAGAGAAAGACAGAAAAAATGATGGGAAGATAACATCAAAGAGTGGACGGGACTAAAACTAGGGGATGCTCTGCGAATTGCAAAATACAGAGAGGAATGGAAGATGATATTTTTCATGTCATCTGTGGCGCCCCAAAAGTTCAAGGACTAAGGGACATGACGATGATGATGGTGAATATGTTTCTAGGTGTGTAACCCTTTAAGTGGAAATGAAACTTAGTTTGATGAATGGAGCACATAAGAGAAAAAGAGCCGCAGAGGGGACAAGGAAAGCTGGTAAACTTGCAAAATTAACATCTTGGTTAAATCTAAGAGAAATAGCCTTACAGCTCCTCACAATACAGTAGCGACATCTACATCAATTATTGTATTCATGCTTACTATTACTCATTACCTATTTCATCTGCTAGGAAAATTGCACAGGATGAAACATACAATGCTTTATCGAAAACGAGAGTATGATTCACCACACAGATTCCTGGATATAGCATGGATATTGAGAATACTTGTACTGCGTCAGAATCATGACTGCAACCTTTTCAAGCTCAGGCAGAGTGTACCCTAGAGCTGGAGAAGAAAAAACTAAGAAGAGGTATTTATCAGGGTATATGTTCAAACATGAACTGCGGAATGTCGAGTATGTAAAACGTGAATGGTTTTACTCTCTTCGCTCTTTATTCCGCTATCAAACTCCCGCAGTCGATTAACATGACGATGCTTCACAACCTGAACTTAGTGGGCTTAAAAGCAGCACAGTGTTTTCTACAGGTCGGAAAATTCTTTGACTTTGTTCAGCGCTTATATTCCTTTTTCTCAGGTTCAACACATCGATGGAATGTTCTGGTATTTGAAATTTTTGATTTAAAATTGTTGTCAAGCTCCCTTAAACTTAAACCAAACATGGAAGAAATGGCAATACTTTACAAAGACATGGCAAATCATGCAGTAACAATATTTGATTCAGAAGTTATGAAGTAAGCCACTATTACTATAAGTTCCTAATCCCAATTCCAATTTAAAATAGCCGTGTTATTAATGGATCAAATTAATAAATTTATTACTGAATTGGTTAAAGGGAAAGCGTAAATCTTTATTTTCAAGTAAAGGTTCAATTACAAATAACTAAATAACAATATTACATTTTATTGTGATTTTATCTTCCACAGTGGCGTAGCTAAGGGGTGCGACCCGCACCGGGTGACATCATTTCAGGGGGTGACACCAAACTGAAAAATTGCATATTTACAGAGCACACATTGCTGGCTCTAACCGAATTTCATAAAAGGATAACCAATCACACGTTGGCCTATATTTTACACACTTATAAACAATCCAAATGCATGCTTTATTAAAAGTTCACGGATGATGATGCATACACTTTCTAACTAGGTCAGACAAATACCGTTTTGACCATGATTCAACGTCGATTGAAGTGTTGGGTAACTTTCGTAAGTGACGAGACGCTTTGATATCAATTATATTAATAAGACACGAACAAATTGTGTCAATAGAACAATATGAGTTAGCTTTAATAATAATTGTACATTATACAGAATTAAACGTTTCGGCACACACCTTCATCAGTACAAACAAACACAACACATTTAAATAAGTATAAATTAAATTTACATAATGTCAATATATATATCCTAACTAAAACAGAAAAAATATAGGAGAGGGCGCTTAAACCTGACAAAAACAAAGTAAAGAGAAGTAGAAAGGAAGTCAGTTTCTGTTTTAGGTAGGATATATATATTGACATTATGTAAATTTAATTTATACTTATTTAAATGTGTTGTGTTTGTTTGTACTGATGAAGGCGTGTGCCGAAACGTTTAATTCTGTATAATGTACAATTATTATTAAAGCTAACTCATATTGTTCTATTGACACAATTTGTTCGTGTCTTATTAATATATTTTAAAGCTTTATTGCAGTCCAACACTTTTTAT